TAGGAGAAGCAGGAAGAGCAGGCGAAGGAGAAGAAGGAGGAGGAGGAGGAAGAAGAAGAAAGAAATGAAGCGTGGTATATGTGGAAGAAATACCCGGAAGAGTACGAGAAAGCTAAGAAGATGGAAGAAGAAGTATGAATAAGGGAGGCAGAAAGAATAAAAGGAAGATGGAAACGAAGAAGAAGAAGAAGAGGCGGAGAAAGAGACGGAGGAGGAGGAGGAGGAGGAGGAGGAGAAGGAGACGGAGGAGGAGGAGGAGAAGGAGACGGAGGAGGAGGAGGAGGAGGAGGAGGAGGAAGAGAAGGAGACGGAGGAGGAGAAGGAGGAGAAGGAGAAAAAAAAGACTCGTAGCATCAGTTCCTATATGTGACTATGCGCATGCGCAGTTGAGAGCACACGCGATGGCTTTGTAATATCAGGCTAATGATGTGAGCATATATATATGTAAGGATAAGTAATGATAATTAATTAACTACGATAGCTAATGATAACAGTACACAGTGATGGGATTACATAGAAATAAGGCTAATAGTAATATTACTAAATATTACTAATAGTAAGTGTAAACACAGGCTGCTATAATGATGTCAACACACGCAATAATAATGGCATTGATCAGATAAAAGATAAATATAAAGAGTAGAAAATATATAATATATGATATAATATAACATAATGTAATGTAATGTAATGTAATGTAATGTAATGTAATGTAATGTAACGTAATATAACGTAACGTAACATAACAGAGCATAATATATATATAAAATATTAAAATAAAATAAAAATAATATAATAGAGTATAGGCCTAATACGCTACAATGAACGGGATTTATTTGACTCAATTTGTGGAATCTTCTTCCTGTAATTATATCATCTCCCAGCATGCATCGCGGCACCTAGACAGGGAGCACCACACACACACGGTTTCCATAGAATCTGAATTAAGAATATAATCGAATAAAATGAATATATATGTAATTAATAAAGAGTATATGAGCATATAATTATATGAGAATTCATTGTACGTACACGTTTCTCTCGCAGCTGTTTTAATTTCACTCTGTGCCATGGGTTTAGGGGTAGGGTTATGATTGAATCGGCCTACATTGTTCGCGTTAAAATTCGGTAACCATGGTTACGTAATTCTATGTAATTCTAATCATGGTGTCGTACAACAGTAGAGGGCGTCCATGGCCCGAATAAGCATCGAACAGAAATTAATTAAACATACGCAGAGTGAGAGTGCCGGCGCATACGCGACCTACACTTTCATTCATGTCGCACAAACGCAGATTCAAGGCCCAAACTCCGCTCGAAATTTTTGCCAGATAGGTTTTGAGAATTTGCGGCATGTAGTCGGATCTCGTTTCAAACACAAAAACGGCCGACCGGTCGCCATGGCTACGCCACCTGACGGAATAGCATAATTACACGACAAGACCAATCTCACTTCTCATGCTTTCTAGACGACCACGAGGCCTCTACCTTACGGGCATCGTGCAAATTATTGCACTCTAGCCGAATATTATCACACACAAAAATGAAAAGTTTTTCCAGAGACGAAATAGTGTAACATTTGTGAACCACATTGGCGGAAAGCTGCTGTTGTTTGCCTCGTGTGCTATTGCACTAATTGCGATCGAGTTTACATCAGGGGCGGATCCAGAGGGTTTGGGTGACCAGTTTCCATAGTTCTAGTCACAGCTAGGGGGGTCCGAGGGCATGCCACCCGGGAATTAAAAAAAAATTGGCTATATTTGGTGCACTCTGGTGAATTTTGAGGGTCAATTATGAAGATACCCAGCCTGTGACCGGTTTCTGGAAACCGGTGCAAACCGGCCTAAATCCGCGCCTGTACATCATTGTCTACAAACCACTTCGTAACATCGTAATACATATTCAGGCGGCCCCATGTAGATGGTCCACAATCCCGACGCCATCGGCTGAACGGTCAGGCGACACATGCCTGCAGCACAGCAAACACAAACACCGTGGTGACCATCTAGCCATCAGTGACTATGGCAACAAACATGACACCATGACGTACACCTGCACAGCGTGCACCGTTTTGTCAAGTAATCGGCTAGATATGGACCAATAAATAAATTGACCGATAAATTTTCGTTAGGTGACACGATTATAAGGCTTGTATAAAGTCTAGACAGCGGATGATGAGGTTTTGACATCAATCTCGCTCCAGTTTCAAGTAGACTGAACACTGAAGCACGCGGAACACTGTCTGAACGTGCTGTTTTGTACTCATTGAGGTTCCGGAACATTAACAGTGTTCCATTGAGCAAGAAAAACAATGCGCAAAAACACTTAATGTAAAGCGATATATCAAACTTCATTATCAAACTCCTTTCATCTTTACACATTATCTTGAATTATTATATTATATTATATTATATATATAATATTATAATATATTGAATTCTCGATGAACTAAACAGCAAAGAACAATAAGTGAAGATTAACATAAAACTCGCTCCTGGTTTCCTGCGCACTAGTAAGTGAACATCAAAGAACAACAGACATATCTTTTATAGTTAAATCCGTTCATTCCAGCTCTGAACAAACTGCCATGAACTTAACAGCAAAGAACAATACGCGAACATTCATATCGAACTCGCTCTTGGTTTCTGCGAGTACATGGTCATCAAGAACTTTTACGGTCAAATCCGTTCAACGATCGAGCGAAAACTAGAAGCGAACAGCAAAAGAACGACGCGTGTGAACATTGTGAACGCGTGTGAACAGCGCACCTTGATCGCACAGTGGAGTGAGGAACTCTTCGAGTCCGGCCGGGATCTCCCGGATGATCTCGCACGAGTATCCATCCTCCGGGAGGAGGGGAGGAGAAGAGAAGGTGAAGGGGGAGGAAAAATCGCAGCACTGTGTGAAACATGCTATTAATAGTAGTAACATACATAATTACATTAGGGGGGGAGGGTGAAGAAAGAAGGGGGGAGGTAAAAAATAACAGCATTTCATTGGAGTAAAGAATCGTGGATGTTGGCATTTCATTCGATTGGAGTTTATCGCTTTGCAATAAACCTATTATCTATCTATCTAAACATGCTTTCACGGGTGGATACAAGACTAAGAAGAGCGGAAAAAATTCCATCACAACACCAAAGTCACCAACAGGAAGCGTAAACCAACAATCAATTGCTCTAGGGTAAACAAAACAATAGTCATACCACTGCTGCATAAAACTCACCAACAAGCATAAAGAATAAACCATGAATTGCTCCGTGACCCCCCCTGTAATAACAATAGAACAGTCGTCCAACTGCTGCCATCTACTGGCCACTTACTGTTTATCGCCGGACTCGAGCGCGCTGACATCCTGTCTTGCGGCGGGGGCGCCACCGGTCGGTGTGCGTCTGTGAGCTCGTCGCTGCGCGGCCGTTGCCGTGGGATACCGCTCTCGCTGCCGATGCTTCGTCTGGGTGTGGTGGCTGCGGGGGCAGCGACACGGTAACGGTCAATAGTTGTAAATACAAGAGCGCGCGTGCAGGATTGTGACTAAACAGCAGGTTCAGCATGGAAGCCCCACGAGGGCGAAAAACATGCACAGCTTTTTATTTATTTATTTTTTTAATTATTTTTTTATTTGTTATTTTTATTTGTTATTTTTATTTGTTATTTTTCATTTTCATTTTTTTTAGTAACTATTTGATATTGGTTGGAGGAGTTTACCTTGGTTTTGACTAATTTATATTTTTGAATAATTTCATCAATTTTCGTTGATTATTTATTTCAAAGAAACTGTAAATCTGTAGTACTAACTTGAATTTATTCACTTCTTGAAATATTCGAATAATTTTTTTACGTAATTTTTTTCACTTGTAATTTTAACCCGATGGGAAATTTCGCGTCATTTCGTATGTGCACGATCGGACACATTACATAACGAATCACGCACAGCAAGTATGGGCTCTGTGTTATCTGTATGTTATCTGCATTATCTGCACGATAATATCTGTGATTGCTGCATCGGCACGTGTCAACACTGAATCATGTACCGGGGAGAAATACACATTTTTCCGGAAATAGCCGAACGGTAGTAGGGCGCAACTTCGGAATCGCTCGGATCCGTATAATACACATGTATACGCATTGTGAACCCTAACCCTAACCCTAACCAGAAAAATATAAAAAAATAAAAAAATAAAACACACACATGACATATGCTAGATAAGCAACTACCCTGGTATGTAAAATGCGTATATTTCTCCCTGGTGCAAAAATCGTCAACACCTACCTCTCTGCATCTGCGGTGACGGCTGGCTGAGTAGTGTTGCGAGTCCATGGTAGATGGCGCCCTGCTTCGACACCTCAAACGTAATCACGGCCCCGGCCTCTGCCATGTATCCTGCCGCCCTGTCACATGCATGCATGTTCACTTGTTAGATAGCACAATAGTAAGTATAGGTAGTGCAAAAATTATTATGCTTCTAATTATTTATTTTATTATTTTTGTTGTGCATTAAGTGGCAATACCAGAGAGAGAGAGAGAGAGAGAGAGAGAGAGAGAGAGAGAGAGAGAGAGAGAGAGAGAGAGAGATAGATACTAGATAGAAAGAGAGAGAGAAGTGAGGGGAGCTAGTCACAAACGAACAACAGTGCGTTACATCATGGATACATACTATCGTTGGCTAATTGAACGAGCACACTGCTACGGTTCTCCGCACTCGCCATTATAAATTGAAATTAGTAATTGATCGTTAGTGATTAGTGGAATTTAATAATTAGCGTGGAAGGTAGCCGAGGATAATTGAGCTATGGCGTTGTGTATTGGAGAGGCGAACACGCTCGCTTCTCAGCAGCTCATGGGAGCAACTGTGGCGCCATCTAGCGACCGATGACGGCGGGCGCCGTTTATTTTTGTGGCTGCGTTGATTGGGAGTCGGGTCTCTCGGGGGAGAAGCTCTAGCGGGTAATGTTTAGAATGCACGGCGGCGGACTGCGGCGGAGACTGTCAGAGTCTGAGCAGCGGACAAGATAAGTCGGCCGTAATAACATAAGATGCATCGATCGTCTGCTGCCGTCGCGTGACGGCACCCTAGCAAATCTCCCTGTCTGTGTCGGTGTCTGTGTCTGTATCGGTGTCGGTGTTAGTGTTTCGCTCTCTACCCTTCTCTATCTTTCTCCCTCTTTCTTTCCTTCTCTCTCTCTCTCTCTCTTGCTCTCTTGCCATCCCTCTCTCCCCCGTTCTCGCTTTAAATCTTTGTCTCGCTCGTCATTCTATGTTCCATTCTTATCTCTCCCCCTCTCTATCTCGTTCTTCGATGCTTTCTTTCTTCCTCCCCTCTCTTTTTCTCTCGCTCTCTATGAAGCAGGATATATGGTACGTGAGCTCAATAGCACGTGAAGCTCGTTACACGAAGCTGGCTCGCAGCATCATCATCCTATGTAGCGGAAACGATAATTTCCTGCGACGCACCGGCAGCCAGCGTGTGGTGTTCATTCACCTCGCCTGTTCCTACGTCAATATACATCTATATATTACATATATATATATATATATACCGTTCAACTCTACCTGACCGGTAACTGTATTAGTGTTCTCCTTCCGCTTTCCTATGTTTGCTGTGCTGTGCGTGCGTGCGTGCGTGCGTGCGTGTTTATTATGACTCTGTCCTTGTATTATATTTTCTCATGTTCGCTGTTATATCTACATCTGTCTTTGCCTTCTCATCTGCACGATGTTATATATATATATATATATACATGACTTTGTCCTTTCCCCCCCCCCTTAGGAATTTGCTCAGCCTACGGCTACGCAGGACGTTCCAACGGTGCGTTTAAAAATAAAAGATAAATAATGGATAATTTATAAGGTTCTGTGATGCCGCCGTCGAGAAGAAAAGACATCGAAAAGATCGAGAGCGAAGTACGAGTGTACCTGCCGCTTCTCATATCTGCTGGTGGCTGAACGCGGCAGGCTGCCCACGACGACAGACTGCCCCCGCGTCTGCGCTGCTAGTTCGCGTCTCCATGCTATACGCCGCGTGACGGCCATCTACGGCCCCCTCAGAGCTGACGCCGGTAGAGGGCGCTCCTTCAACACGCGCCATGGCGTCGCCATGACGACGTGCATATCTCCGTTTTCGATAAAGCGTCCGCTGGACTTTGAACACTTATCTTCATGAGGTTATCTGGCCAAGTGCCTCACTTGCTGTTACCGTTGCTGTTTCCGTGTTGACACCGACAACAAAACAGTGTACGTGGATGACACACACACCGGTGCTCCCACCCCCACACACTACGCCAACGTGTGCTTCCACTTCACGCCCAGTTAGACTGGCACCACGATATTCAAGACAAGGTAGAGCACACAGCGAAGTAGCTGAAACGGTAGCTGTCGGCGCCCGTCTATGATGCACTAGACTGTCCACGGGACATTTAGGCTTAAGTGCAGATGACCACAGAATAGTTCACGCAGGGGCTGTCGGTGCCTGTCTATCCTCCTCTAGACTGTCCACGGCACAATTAAGCTTACGTGCTTATCACCACGAAGCTGCGAACAAACGAGCTGTCGGCGTGCGTCTATTCGCGAGACTGTCTACGGGCCAATTAAGCTTACGTGTATATCACCACAAAGCAGGTCATACACGATCTGCCGGTGCTCGTCTATGACTCCACGCCACACACTGACACTGACTCCACGCCAAACACTGACACTGACTCCACGCCAGTTACGGTGTCTACGCCAGCTAGGGTGGCGCTTAAAGTGTCCTTCTTACACTTGATTAAAGCGACACCACCACGTTCTAGGACATCCGACAGATCTAGACACACGAGACGCACGGACACTGGCAGCCATCAATTCTTCTCTCTGTCAACGGCTCTGGGCTTTTGTAATGAAACGTGTCCGTCAACACTTTGACTCTAAACGACACGTTCTGGAACAACAGAGAAAGACACGACACACACACACTGTGACAATCGTCAATTCGTCTCTCTCTTCTCCCAGCAGCTCCGAGCTCTCGTAGTGAAACGCGCCTGTTCGCAGTGGCAGCAGAACGGCGGGCTGCGCAGCCATGGTTACGCGTGTGCGTGCACCGCGCTCGCTGCCTCTCCCGTCATCGCACTAACTAACTAACTAACTAACGAGCCGTGGATGTTTGGTAGACGTGTGGCAGCCGCGTGGCGACCTGCGCACGCACGCAGGTAAATGTCACGGACGTGTGCACACGCGCGCAGCGTGCTCTGCTGTGTAAAACATTAGTCACCGTCGCACGAAGTGATGGACCAGTCGACTACGTAGACGCGGGTTGGTGGTACTGATGAGGAGGCTGCGGGAAGAGAGAGGCTGTGGGATGATGGTACTGATAGGGAGGCTGTGGGATGACGGTACTGATGGGGAGGCTGTGGGATGAGAGAGGCTGTGGGATGATGGTACTGATGGGGAGGCTGCGGGATGAGAGAGGCTGTGGGATGATGGTACTGATGGGGAGGCTGCGGGATGATGGTACTGATGGGGAGGCTGCGGGATGATGGTACTGATGGGGAGGCTGTGGGATGATGGTACTGATGGGGAGGCTGCGGGATGATGGTACTGATGGGGAGGCTGCGGGTTGATGATACTGATGGGGAGGCTGTGGGATGATGGTACTGATGGGGAAGCTGTAGGATGATGGTACTGATGGGGAGGCTGCGGGATGATGGTACTGATGGGGAGGCTGCGGGTTGATGATACTGATGGGGAGGCTGGGGGATGATGGTACTGATGGGGAAGCTGTAGGATGATGGTACTGATGGGGAGGCTGCGGGATGATGGTACTGATGGGGAAGCTGTAGGATGATGGTACTGATGGGGAGGCTGCGGGATGATGGTACTGATGGGG